TATGTTGTTGTTGTTGTTGTTGTTGTTGTGCTGGTGTATGTTTGGATCTCATGCAACAACAACAACAACAACATCAACAATTTTGGATGGATATAACTACCATCATTTGAAAACATTGTTATAGTTTATCATATCATAGTACCAACAATAAACCAACCAAACGATCTAACGAACGACTACCACCACCAATTTACTAGAATACAAGAATCAGCAGCAGTAGCAGACGACGACGACGACGACGAATAGGGAGAAAAAACAACAGAATTCGATTATTCCGTTATAACGGGGAACCACAGAATACTGCAGAGAGAGAGAGAGTAGAAGCTTATTTATTTGAAGAAATTTTGAAAAAAAAGAATTCAAAGACGCATGTTTATTTAGCTGTATGCGTGTGTGTGTGGTTGATGTGTGTTTTATGCTAGATTCAAATATTGAACCAGAATAATCCAAGACAGTACCATGAAAAGACCTCGACACAGACACACACACACATACACACTAACACACATGAACAGAATTCTAGGTCGTCGTTTTTGGATTCTTCATGAATTCAATACAATTCTGTTTCATTCATTCTGATTATCATTGCCTTGTTGTTGTTGTCGTTGTCGTTGGTGTTATTTCATTTCAGCTAGGATTTTGAACCACTTCAATTTTGCTTCTTCGTATTTTTCTATTTTTTCCTGTGTGTGGGTGTCCTGTTTTATTTGTATCTTGTTGTTTTTGTTTTTGTTTAAATCATCATCATCATCATCTTCGTCATCACCACCAACATTGGATCGTATGATCTATGTGTGTGTGTGTTTGTGTATGTTTTTGTGTGTTTATGTGCATGTGATCCCACCATGATTTGTTCCATTTGATTCGTGTTCCAAGGAATTTTTTTTCATAGAAAAATTTAAAAAATCATTCTGTCCAATTTTAAATGTGTGTGTGTGTGTGTGTGTGTGGTTTTCGATTCCTTGGAATCGAATGATTGAAATCATCAAACTATTAACAAAAAAATGATTTGATCTACCAGTGTTGACGTTATTGAAAGTGGGCGTCATTGTTGATGATGATGATGATGATGATAATAATGTTTACCGGTAAATAATTATAATGCTGAAGATAATGATCAATGGCGGTGGTGGTCAACATATATTTCCACTCGAATAACTAACTATTAAACAAAAATATAATCAAAGAAAAAAAATTTTGAAACTTTTATCGATCACATACGGAAACCCATCATCATCATCATCATTGAAATCGGAATCGAAAGAAAAAAAAAATTTTTTTATTTGGAGTCAATTTCATTTGACTTGAATTCATCATCGACACACTTATTCATATCGATCGATTCATAGATGATGATGATGATGATTATTATTATCATTATGATGATGTAGTGTGATGATAACAGCCAAACAAGAGTAAAAAAGAATTTCAAATTGAATTCTCTCACCAGTTTCACCATGATGATGATGATGATCAATCAAGCATACAAACAATTTTCAAACTTAAAGTGAATCAAAAAAAAAAAAAAAATCGAAGAGAAAATGATGCATAACCAGTAGTGTGGATGGGAATTTTTTTTTTTGAAATTGAAATCTTTACCATATTTTGATTAGATATAGAAATTTTTACTTTTTTTATACATGAATATAATATATACATGTCATCAATACATATATTATATATATGATATACATTCAAAATAGAAGAGAAAAAAAAATTCGTATCGAACCATTCATTATTACTAGAGAGAGAGTCGATGTCGTATTCTTGATGAATTTTCTTTTTTTTTTTTCGTTTCCCAATTCTATACAATCAAATATATATATTCCTCTTTATCATTTTTTTTTTTTTTGTTCCGTGTTCACATTCAAAGAAAATACCGACGAACTTTTTTTTTTCTCTCTCTCTCACGATCCATTTTTTTTTATTTCGTTCTTGTGTGTGTGTTTTTTGTTGTTGTTGTTGAATGAAAAATGGGAAAAAAAACGCAAATATTCTAATTATTCTTGTTCGTGATCTACTATTCTTGTGGTGGTATTCATTCATTTATTCTGCGACCATTTTTTTTTTTAAATATTTTATTTGATCAATTGAACCAATTGTTAAATGTTAACGTGTGCTATATATATATGTTGTGAATTATATGATTCTTATTTAGCTCCTATGCATTTATTATTCATTTTGGAATCGACATTTTTTTCTCTCTCTCTCTCCATATATCGACCAATTATATTTGCATATTTTTAGGCTATTTTCATGATTTATTGTATTGTATTTTGGCAATAATAATGTCATTCAATGATGATAATGTAATCTGATGTGATTCTGTTCAATTCAAAAATTTGTTTTTTTTCCACTTTTTTTTCTCTTCAAAATAATCGGCCATTAAAATCGAAAAGAATCGGAAAAAAATTGTTTATTCGATGCCAATGATTGACAATTTTACTTTCACTTAACTTTTCATTCAAGTGGTCAGTGATTCTTTTGCTTCTTCTTATTCTGTGTTGTGTGTGTGTGTGTGAATCATATATGGTTTCATTATCATCATCACCATCATCACCACCATCATATCAGATTATTTTCTCTTTTTGATTCATCTTCCACTTCTAAGTTATTTTCTGTTTTGCAAAAAAAAAAAAAAAAAAATAAACATAAAAACCAGATTCTTGATTCTATGTCATCATCATTGCCGTTGTTCATTGTAATAAGCATACTTTTTTGATAAAAGATTTTTTTTTCTGCCGAAATTGCTTGTTTATGATTCAACTCATAAAGAACTTTTTGATGATTCAATAAAGAAAGAAAATTGAAACAATCAAACGGACGAAACTAACAAAAAAAAAAAAAAGAAAACGACCAAAGTACCAATACACGAATTCAATCCAGGCCAAACAAAGCCTAGCCATAATATTCTTGTGTTGTTGTGTTCAATGAAGAAAATCTCAATGAAATTAAAGTTTAGTTTGCAGTCACTATATATATAAGAAATGCAATAAAAAAAATATGAACCAAAAAAAAAAAAAAAAAAAATGATTAATTGTCTACAATGAGTCGATGAGTTAAAAACAACAACAACAACAAAAAACAACTACAAAGATCAACCAACAAACTAATGACAACGAACAAAACTAAATAAAAAAAATGATGATCACAAAGATCAAGATCATTGTACGAAGATCATCATTTACAATCAACTAGAATTTCTTATCATTTTATTCGTGTTGTGTGTGTTTTTGTCAGCAACATCAATGCTGCCATTGTCATCATCATCATCATCGTAATAATTCTGTATGTGTGTAAATGCTTAGCCTGTATATCGAATTCTTGTTGTTGTTGTGTTTCATATGATAAGGAATAATTATGAGCTAAAAATGTTTTTGCCTTGATAACAAGAACAACAACAACAACAACAACAAAATTCTGGCCATTTACTATCGATTCTATCTATCTAGATCTAGATTTGGTTCATATGAAAAACACACACGCACACCTACAACATTCATATATCTGGAATGAAAGGAGAAAAAAAAACATGTAAAAAGCAATACACAACGACCTTAACAACAACAAAATTAATGAGGCAATAAATAATAATTTTTCAATGAAAACAACAACAACAACAACAAGAATAAATAATCAAGATTCTTATCATCGATGTGGTATGTGTTAACCAGATGAACATAAAAAAAAATTCATATCTATCGTTCAAATATCGATAGATCATCATCAACAACACCAACATCATCATCATCATCATCCGGGTGGAATGTAATCATGTAATCGATTGTTGTCGATATCATAGATGAATTTCATCTTATGATGAGAACTTGATATGTAACTTTTGTTGTGTGTGTCGATGTGTGTGTTTTCATTACAAATAAACGCCCGGTGAATACTCGAAAATAAAAAAACATCAAACAACATGAAGAAGAAAAAAAATGATATTATGTAAAGAATATATATAAATTATAGCAAAAAAAAAATCTTGTTTTTCGGCAAGCAGGTTGTTTCTTCTACAATTTTTTCTTCACTACACGCCTTTTATTGGCCTTTTTGTTCATTGAAAACAACAAACAAAAACAATAAATTAACCGCCCATAATCAAATTCATTCCGATTTGAGTATTGAAGTTTGATTATCATCAAATTGAATCACAAATCAATGACAATGTCAACAACGATAACTATCGCTACGATTCAATTCAATTTCAATACAATTCTTCATTTTATCTGAATCTTAAAATTCTTTTCTTTATTCAATCCGGAAAAAAAGAAGAAAGAAAGAAAGAAAATGATACTATTTATCCACGAGAAACGAAAAGATTCTTACTGATGGATGAGAAGAAAAAGACCGATATGATATGATGATGATGATAATGATGATGATGGAGAAGAAGAGAAAAAAAAGAAAAGAACCGATATCTTTGTTTCGATTTGTCATCATGAATGATTACAAATGATGATAATGGTTATCATCATTATATATATAGAAACAATCATCAATAATAAATAAATATATGACATAATCATCATCATCATCATCATAATCATTTGTCTTTCTTTTTTTCATTTTTTTTCGATGACAAACAAGAAAAAACAGAAATAGAAATGGAAATGAAACAATGAAAAATGGAACAAAACAAACAAACAAACAAAATGAAACTGAAATTCTTCTTGACAATAATCACACAATAACCTAAAGATATGATGACGATGATGATGATGATCAATAACAAGAATAATGATGGAAATTAATCATAAAAGTAAAAAGAAAAAAAATTTTTTGCCTCCATTTTATCATAAATATGTCCAAATATAATTGATCTGGAAGTAAAATTGCATCAATCACCCATATATATACACATACCACTCACCACTCACACACATACACATATCGATAAAGATCTGGTTCATCAAATGATTCAATTCGTTCGTTTGTTATTTGGTGATATATTATCATTCATTCTGGATTTTGTGTTTGTTGTTTGTCGTTATTGTTGTTGTTGTCGATTCCATTTTTTATAGTAAAATAATAATTCCCAATATTATCGGCTGTCAGTATTTCTACAAAAATTTTCATTTCTTAAAATCTCTCTTCTTTCTCTCTATATATACATCTTTAATCTTCTTTCATCTAATTCATTGAACTATGTAATTTCATCATTTTTTTTCTCATCTTCAACATTGATATAATTCTTAAAGCCTATATGTGCGTGTGTGTTTGTGAGCGAGAAAAAAAAGTGCCATCTTCATCATTATCTCCTTTTTAAAATTATTTTCAACTTTTTGTGTGTGTGTGTGTCTGCGTCTGTGTACATTATGTGATTCGTTCATCCGGATTTATTTGGATTATCAAAAACATAACCGGAACAATACACACACACACACCAACATCGCACACAAATATATACTGCGAATAAACAACGATGCAACGACGTCATAGTCATCGAGTAAGTTTGAAAACAAACAAACAAAAAAATTGATTTTAGATTATTCTTTTGGTTTAAATTTCAAATTTTTTTTTTCAATTTAAAAAATAAGCATCCATTTCTATGATCAGACGACAATAAATTATACAGATGACAATAAAATTTTAGATTTAAATTTGATTCAGAATTCTGAATTTTTTTTTTATTCGAAAATTTGTATTGTTTGTAAGGTTCGTTGAGTTTCGTTGTGATTCAATCCAATGCGTCAATCAATCTTTTCTCTCTCTTTCCCTCGCTTTTTTTTTGTTCGATTTCAATTCAATTCAATTTGATTCATTTCATTGGGTTTCATTTCATGTCATTACAAGACATTCAGAAAGATTATTTGTCCACTGTATTCTTTCTTTGATTTTTTTTTGTTGTTGTATATTCTCATTGTCATTTGTGTGCCCATTTTCATTGTCCTCGGGTCGATTTTTTCGTTTTTGTTTTCTTTTTCCATTCATTTTTGGTTCACAATTCATTCATTCATTCAAAACAAAACAAAAAGGAAAAACATCAACATTCATGAATTCATTCAGACTGTTTTTCTGTTATTTTTTTTTTTTTGGTTTTTATTTTTGCTTTTTGAATTTCGGTTCGATTTTTTTTGCCCTCGTCTCTCTCTCTCTCTGTCGTTCGATTATCATACACACAAAATGTCTTTGTTCAGCTTCCTTATTACTCTTCCTTTGTCTATAAATTTCATCTATAAATCTCAATCAATTTCTCCATCATTTCATTCGTAGAATATACACAAATAATCGAAAGAAAACTTTCGACCATTCATAGCATAAAATTCGGCTTTTTTTTCCTCCATTTTGTTCAGAATTCTAAATACAAACATCAAATATAACGAAACAAGAATAGAACAAAGAAAAAATTGGAAAAAAAATATCAATGATGATGAGACAAATGAATTATCGGCAAAAAAAAACTGAATGTTGTTGTTGTTGTTTTTTTTTGACAATTTCATTTCATTCTTTTTTGTGTGTTATCATTGTTTCCATTTGTTCATGTTTTTTTTTGCATTCACTAGAATCAGTTTTGCCTGATTGATTCAAAAAAAAAAGAGAAAGAATTTTTTGTCCATTTTTTTCTGTCTTGTGTTATTATTGAATTTCGAAAGTCGAAATTTACTTGATTGGAATTTAGAATTTATTCATTTTTTTGCCACCACTTTTCAAATGGCTTTTCTCCTATTGAATGAAAAGTTTTAGAATTCTATTTTACATTGATAATAGTAAATTGTGCATAAATTTTATTTTTTGTATGATTGACTTGTTGGCTGTCAAAATAAAATAAAATGAAAAATTTGGAATTTACATCCGAGTTCTTGATATTGGTTCATTTTGCAAATTCTTTATTCTGATATTTTTGATGTTCAATTCATATTCTTCATCAACATATATTCGTAGGATAAAATTCATGTTTAGACGTGCATGTCATGTCAATTCTGTTTGGGCTTTGAACAGAATTAAAATGAACTTAACCACGATAGAATCATGAATTTGAATCCAATGTGGAATGAGAAAAAAAATGCAAAACCTTTTTGATGGATTTAAGGTACAAATGCCAGAATAAAAATTATGGTTTGAAATCCGGAATCAGGAACAAAAATGAACAAAAAAAAAAAGAAAAGAAAATCGATTGCAAATTTTACACAAACACACACACACGTTTCTTTCCATAGGAAATGAAAGTGGAACGATGAATGAATTCAGAATTGATAGAAAAAAACCCTTCAAATTAGCTTCCATATACTCAACTCATACTTATATTTCAATATAATATCAGTCTGATGATTTTTTTTGTTCCAGTGAATTTTTTGTGTGTGTGTGCATTTTCAAATTTGTTATCATGATCATCATTGCCATTTGAATCAAGCCAATTTAATCGTCTGTCAAGGTATTCAAGAATCTATGAAAAACCTTGGTTAGTTTTTACTCAATTAATGGGAAAAAAAGCTCGTTTTTTCGCTTTTGTGTGCGTTCATCAGCATTCGTTCACAATGAACATTCAAAATTCTATGGACGTTCAGATAAAACAAAAGCATGAGCAAAAATTTAACAAAAACTAAACAAAACAAAACAAAAAAAAAACATGGTTGAAAAAACCACAGAAATTCTCTTTTATATGTTAATCATTATTATAATCATTGAATGCAGAATTGTCATTTTCGATTTCGTTTGTGGTGGTTGTTTTTCCTATTCGATCTGAATAATCTGACTCACATATCACAAACACACACACACACATTCGCCAATTATTCCCATCATCATCATCATCATTATTTTTTTCCATTCTAAATGCAATTCATTATTGTATAAAGGGAAAAAAACGAAGAATCACCTTTTTTTCCAATTTCATTTTATATTGTCATTATCATAATGCTATATGCATGCAGAACATTGAGATTAAAAAAAAAAGAAAAATTGCTGCATATCAACAAAAATGGAAAAAAAATTTCCATATTTCCATCAATCTATTGGTTTCAAGATAGATAGGAAATTTGATTTGAATTTTTTTTACTTAGAAATTTTTCATTGACATTCTGTAGCCTCAAGTGGAAACAAACAAAAAAAAAAAAAAAAAAAGAAAAAAATCAATCGAAATTTTCATAGAAAAAAATTTCATCCATTTCCATTACAATTTCTTCAATTTGATTTGATTTTTTTTTTTCTATTTTTAAAATCACATTTATTTATTTATTTATTATAGATTTCTTCATTCGCCAAATTACGTGAAAGACCAATTCGTAATGATAAACAATTACGTGCAATTGTTCGTGTTGGACAATCGGTCAATTTTGCTGTCGAACGTTTTGCATCCGTTGGTGAAGCAATAGCTGATGATAATCCAGAAATTCGTAATGAAATGTATGATGCATGTAAAGATGCCCGTACAGCTGGTGCATTGATTGAACAGTTATGTAGTTTAACGGCACCAAGTCTTCGTGGTATTGGTGGTAATTGTGGCACGATTATCGATCCAACCAGTGGTAGTTCAATTATTCCTATTGTCGATACAGTTTATCACCATCATCATCATCATCATCATCATTATCATCATGATACGACAACAGCCACAGCGGCAACAACAACAACAACAAATAGTGAAGAATCAATACGTACACATGCTGATCGTCAAGCAATGGCAAGAGCGGCACGTGCATTATTATCATCCGTCACAAGAGTATTATTGGTTGCCGATACAGTTGTTGTCAAACAAATTGTTGCAAGTAAAGATAGGGTAAGTGTACCAGAATATGAGCATCAAATTGATGAGAAAAAAATGAATTTCAAAATTCAAATAAAAATAAAATGTCTCTCTCTCTTTTTTGTTTCTTTTTATTCCAAACAAATTAACTGAATAAATGTCACCATGTTTGTTAGGTTTCAATGTCATTGAATCGTTTAGAAAATGTTGCAAATTTTACAGAATTTGTCAAAGCATTTTCACATTTTGGCATGGAAATGGTTGAATTGGCACATTTAACAAGCGATCGACAAAATGTATGTTTGATAAATCCAATTCAGTGAATGTGTTTGGATTCCCATTCAATTTCTAAATTTGCAAACATGTTTTTATGTCAATTTCCATGGTGACAATTCAATTTATTCATTTTATGTCATAAATAGGATTTAAAAAATGAAAAACGTCGTGCACAAATGACTGCCGCTCGTAAAACATTAGAAAGATCGACAATGATGTTGTTGACTACATCAAAAGTTTGTCTTAGACATCCTGATTGTCAAACGGCTCGTGAAAATCGTGATACCGTATTTGCTCAAATGCGTCGTGCAATGGATCTAATACATTTTGTTGTAAAAGAAGGTATTGTTACCTATCAATCGAAATCATCATCAACATCGATAGCTGTTGCGGCAGCTGCTGCAGCCGCTGCTCATGCTGCGGCAGCGGCAGCCGTAGCAGCATCTGGAACATCATCATCATCATCACCACATCCTTATCATCGGCCAACATCATCATCATCGAATGCAACAACAGTAACATCATCATCAACATCAGCATTACATTTACCATTCGATCCGCACAATGAAGCCCTATTATATGGGTATGATTATCTACAACAACAACAACGTGCTCAACAACAACAACGGTGTTCATCAAGGGATATGTTTTCCATACCAAAATATCAACGTCGTGGCCAATTACATCGTGTTCAACGTACTATACCTGGTAATTCATTTGTATTAGCCGTAGAATCAACATTACGATGGCTACATGAACAATTGGATGCATGTCCAACAATTGTAAATTTTTTACAAAGAATCTGTGAATTATCCGATCTGGCACAAATGGGCCAAATGACTAGCCACGTTAAAGAACAGATAATGTTCGCATTGGATGCTGCCATTGAACGTACTCAGGATTTTACCGATTCAGCATATACAAATCATGATCATCGTGAACAAATATTAATGTTATGCGATCAACTTCGTGCCGAAGTCGAAGCCTTTTTTCGAGCTGTTGTTTGTTTTGTAAGTTTTTCTCTTTATTCATTGCGTTTACTAAAACAAAAAAAAAAAATTCATTTCACTAAAATTTGCTGAATATTTGCTAAATGATAATAATTACTTTTCAACAATAGAGCCCGAAAAGAATATTCTTTCTGTCTATGAGAATTTTATCATTTGAATAATGATGCCTAAGTTCAAATTTCAATTTCAATAATGAATCACTGAATTAAATTGAAACCATCTATTTGCGTGTGTGTGTGTGTGTGTTTTTGTGATAGGAGGTGGGAGGGGGCCTAAATAAGTGATAAAACTGTTTCACCGTTTTCAATTTTTATTCTTGTGCGTTTAGTTAAAATGAAAAATTCGTGAAAAAAAAAAACGTCTGGAAAAAAATTGAATCGAAAGAATAAAATAAAATTGATCAAATTCCATAAAATGGAGAATGTAAAAAAAAATTTTATAATAGTCGTCTCATTGAAACAAATGATGATGATAATAATGATGATGATGATGAGAATCGCAAAATTTATAATCGATAAAAACGAAAGATGAGATTTGGCCATTTTAGGGTTATGATGATGAAAGAAATGATGAAACACAATGATGTCTATTGGGTCCAATTTTTTTTCTATTTTTCACCAAATTGATCTGGTTTTCACAGTAAGTGATGACGATGAACAGTGCCTTTGTTGGAAAAAAAAAATTCCAATTTTTTTTTCATATGACGTCAATGATCGACGACCAAATATTATTACAGAATCATCATTATTGTTAGCGATATACTGCTAAGTACACACAGTTTTGTGTTGGTTCGATTGTTAAAGGCAATATGAGCCAATAGAATCCCGGATCACAGGGTCCTGGATTTTTCTTTTCTATTTTTTTTTTTGGCTTTCGTCAAATCTTTTTTTTCTGTTGTTGTTTCTTTCATTTTATTTTACCCTCGGCCATCATCATAATAATTCCTATTAATTTTCTCTCTCATTTATTGGATTTCATTTCATACTTAGATCGAATATAAGTCAAAGCAGAAACAAAAAATGATTACAATGAGAATCTCTTCGAATAGTAGTGAGAAATCTAAAAAAAATCAGTAAAGTTGAGCACAAAAATTTTGATGTTTTCTTGATTTGTTTGTTTTTGCCCATAGTTTTTGGTGCTGTTGTTGTTGTGTTTAACATTCGGCTTCCAGTGTAGAACAATATATCGATAATGATGATGAACGTTAAATTTGCAATTTGGAATTTGTTTGATCAAAATCAGCTATTGTGACAAATAAAAAAACAAATGAAATTCGCTAAAGAAAAAATCAGAATCTTTATTACCGAAAAAAAATTGTCCATTATTTTCGATTTGTTCTTATTGCAGTTGTTGTTGTTGTTTTATAGAATCGTGACGAATCATTTTTCTTTATATTTCAAGAATTTGCTGATGCAATGATGACTAGATATAAAAATTCTGATTTTTTTATACACCAAATCAATCATAATTCCAATTTTTTGATGTGAAAACAATCGATTAATTAATCGATTGTCGATTGTATCGATGAATCTAATTGTCACGATTCTTTTTTTATTTTTATTTTTCATGTTTTTTTTATGGCCACTATATATCGATATGATGTAGAATTTCAATCTCAAAAGAATTCTGCTTTTGTTCTGGAGTTTTTTTTCTGGGCCAGCTGATTTATTATATCAAGTTATGATCATCTATAGATCATCGATCTTGATTATATATTTATTATTGTTCAATATCGTCGTTGTCCTGTGTTCCAAAATATATATCGGGCATTTCACGTATATGGATCCGAAAAACTTTTTATTCTTTTTTTTTATTCCGGAACTTATTTTCTTGTGAATATCATTACAACAAACAAAATTTTGATGCTCAGTTATTTTTTTTTTTGTTATGAAATTCAAACATTCACCGGAATTAACTTGAATTCGATGATGATGATTATGATGGTATGAGAAAGAAAAACGAACTGCTTCCACACTCATCTACATCATTTTCAATATAATGAAAAAAAAATTCATCAAAAAAAAATGTTCAGTATGTCAAATGAACGAAAAGAAAAACTTTTTGGATTTTCCAGTTGTTCGAATAATTTAAACTTTTTTCTTATCAATTTTTTTTTTTGCTGTATTTCAAAATAATAATAATAATTACAATACCATTTAGCATCAATACTGGTTTGACCTAAATTCATTTGATCATTTCAAATGAACGAGAAATTGAATTTGAAAACCAATTTCTATCTATCTATCTCTCTCTACACACACAGACAAATTTCAATCTGATTTCGAGCAAATTTATTCTTCTGATCATCATCATCATCATCATCATCATCAGTAGTGTGTATTTTACCGAATAAAGAATTTTCATTCTCGAATCGACATTGTGAAAATGAAATTAAAATTCTTAAAATTTCATTTTCATCTCCGCCCATATCAAACATAGATGAATGGGAAATATTTCGGTTTCCGTCCGTAATGTGAATAGGATGGGCACTCGCACTCGCACTTGCACCCGAACCCGCACACACACAATGGCAAATGATAAAAACAAATAATAAATGAATGGATAGGTTAGTTAACTCGAGGAGAGAAAAAAAAATGTAACCATTGCTAAAAACTTAACTGATAAGGCCCCTAAAGCTAAGCGGGTAAAAATTCATTTCATTTCTATTTTTTTTCTCCGATTCACAAATCCAATTTTTTTTTTTTTTTTTTTTTGTGTGCGAGAAACATTTTTTCCACACACACACCATTCGTTTATCATGTACGAAAATGGTTCGGTTACTTTTTCGTTGTATCTATATATTTTTTTTTTTTTTTTTGTATCCATAACCATTTTTTTCGTTGGTGAGATATGAAATTTTTTTTTTTTTTTTGGGGTGTATTTTCAGTTTGTTGAATTCTTTCGGTTTTTTTTATCTTTATCTCTTGAGTCCTTGTTGTTGTTGTTGCTGGGATCTAATTGAATTTGTTATTATTGTTGTTGTTGTTGTTTATTTCTCAAGAGTTTTGCTTCTTGTATCAGTAGGCCGTATACTTTTTTTTGTTTTGTTTCTCTTCATTCCACATTCATCACAATCGTTATGATGATCGAAATGATGATAAATGAAATGATGATGATGATGATAGAAATAAAAACGTTTCTATCTCTCTATGTTTTTTTATGTTGAGCTTTCGAATCAAGATTAACAAAATTCTTTCAATGAAATTCTCGAATAGAAAACAATGACAACAAAGGCAGCAGCAGCAGCAACAACAACAAAAACAAATCCTATAATATTAATAGTTTTTCCAGGCTTTTAAATATTCTGTATGTGTGTGTGTGTATGTATCACTAGGGAAACAGACTGTTTCCCCTGAAATATTATCATGTTGATGATTCTTGATGGAATCAAATTGGTATTGATCGAATAGATTATTATTGAATTGAATGAATAGATAGTTGGTTTCGTTCGGTTTAAATTCAGATGTAACTGTTGCAAAAAAAAAAAAAAAAAATACAACGTTGTTCAATGCAATTGATTCATTCATATTACTTCTATGGTCTTAATTCAGTAGAATATTCAACCAGAATATTCTTTCAACCACCCCACAACATAAACAACTTGAATGACAAAAACAAGAAAATGAATGAAAACAAAAATTATTAATTAATTTATTATTATTAATATTAACCTAAAATTATGATGATGACATTGTTGTTGTTGTTGTTGTTGGCGTTGTCGTTTTTATTTCATCCTTATCTATGGATCATGTGTATTATTATGTATATTATGGGCCAGAAATAATATATAACATGTCGACGACCATAACATGACCAACCCAGAAACAATGACAATTATGATGATGATGATGATGATGATGACATTATATAACTCATTTAGGTGGTGGTTGGTTGGTTGTTGTTGTTGTGAGAATGAATTTTTTTTTTGCATTCATATCCAACCAAAATAATAAAGAATGCAAAGGCACCATGGTTATAATGATGATGATGATGATGATGATTCAATCAAAAATTTTTATCCATTCTATTGGATAAAAATTTACTGAATCGATTTTTTTGTGATTGAAATGATTCATAATCATATTGAATTGAATTCTAAATGACTATGATGATGATGATGATGATGACAAATAATTTAGGTTATTGGTCCATTTGTGCCAAATTTCGCTTTCTATTATTTTCAGAATTTCTTCTCATTTCCATTATTTGTGGTTTTTATTCTTGTTTTTTTTTATATTCCATCCAGTTTTTTGAACGGTAAATCACATGGTATACCATTATTATTATTGGTGGTTATGATTGAGCCAATTTATTATTATTGGCAATGGTGATGATGATGGTGGCTGGTTGAATGAGTTTTTGATCTACCATCGTTTTGATTATTATTAGCCATACCATAGTCTATGAACAAAAAAATTTCAATGGATAATTTGATTGTTCATACATAGAAAAAGAGAAATGACATCGTAATCATGCCATTTCTTTTAATCAGAGACCTAGATTTTTTGTCTTTTTTATACCTTCATATTATCATTATTTTAATATAATCTTTATATGGTTTATATTATTTAATTATGGTTCATATTAGATATATATACAGAGATAAAGAATGAGAATCAAGAATTTTAGAAGCTAGAATTATGATAATAATAATTATAGTTATAATTATGATGATGATAATAATAATCTACAGCAAGATTTCATTGTAAATGAACAAGTTGATTGTTAATTAAAAATTCAATCAGAATTTGTCTTGATTTATAGATAATGATGATTCTGCTTTATTGTCATTAATTGAACATTAAAGCTAATAGAAATTCGTTAATACAATATAGCTAAATACCGACAGTTTTATTCTATTCTGAACATCATAGATTCGAGAATTTATTCGTTTGAACTTTTTTTCTCCACTGTCGAATCTGGAAAAAAACGGTAACCATTATTTTTTTGGTTGGTTGGTTGAATATTTTTTTTTGTTTCATTTTTTTTTTGTTTATGAATTTTGTGAATTCTGGCCATTCAACCGGAAAAAAAGAAAGAAAAAAAATGATACATACAAGAATAAGAAGTAAAATTCTGTAATTTGTCTGCAAAAATTTTTTTTTGTTTAAATTTGTCTTGGCCAAGTCGTGTGTGTGTGTGTGTGTGTGTGTGTGTGTGTGAATTGGTCTGGAATCCCTGGATCAAATTTTTTTATTCTATTCACATACTAGACACACACACGACGACAACAACAACAACAACAACAAATCCTGTTCATCTTAATCCTTCTTTTTCTACACATCCACAATAAATGATTCAATTAATAAATTTACATCTAAAATTGAAAATTTTCAATCCTCATCAAAATATTAAAGTCATGTATGTAAAATATGTGATAGATTCTGTCATTCTGGGTTTGTTTTTGTTTTTGTTTGTATTTGTTTGTTTGTTTGTTCTGGTCTTGTTAACCAACAATAACAATGACAATCAGTTTTGGAACATGAGAGAAAAAAAATTGATGTTTTGTATATATGTAACAAAATTTTATTGGCATTCAATTCTGTACTGTACTATATTCTGGTTTTGGTCTAGAGAATTTATTGTCACATTGTTTTTATATATATGTTGACTGTGAACAATATATTGTGTCAACTGTTAATTAAATTATTAACATTGACCATATTTCTCTCTTTCTCTTGAGTTTTTGTGATTATTTTGTTGGACATTGGTTTTGGTTATTCTGATAACACTCATTCATTCATAATTTTTTTTTTACGTCCAAATGTTCATTTGGTTAACAATATTAGCTGTGTATGTGTGTGTCATTAGTGGGTAGATCACTGATGAAAAGAATGATTGAATTCTTGCACGCAAACGTTTGTTTGTCTACCAATAACAATCTAGAAAAAAAACCAAAAAATAGATTGTATGAATAAAAAGAAATTGATCTATTCTTATTATATGTTGTTTATGCACTTACCTCGGTGCAAATTAATGTTCGTCGATTCAGCATAAACAATCATCAACTTTAATAAGAATTGTATGTGTGTGTGTATGCGTTTTTATCATGACAAAATATGGTTAAATGAACAACAACAAAAAAAGAAAAGAATTTTCACAGAAAGAATTCAAAAAGACTTTATACAGAATTTTTTTACTCTTCTCTATCTTTCTCAGCAGGATTTATAATTTTCCAAGCCATATGTGTGTAATAATTAATAAGGAATTTATTTGTAAACAAAAAAACAAAAACGACATTTATTAACGCCCCACATATTTTGTAATGAAAGAGAGAATAGATAATGCAATTGTTGTTTTTTTGTCTTAAGTGTAACACATAAAAATAACAACAATGAAACAATGGTAACGAAGAAAAAGTCGAAAATGTTGACCAAAAACACACACACACACACACAAAAAGACATTTGTTCCAATATTTATAAGCCAAAAAAACAAAAAGTTTTTTATATCGTTTTTATATGAGTTCTGTAGTTCAGAACAACAAACGAAAATAAACAATGCAATAAAAAAAACTATTGTTCTCCATCATCATCATCATCATTGTGCTGCTTTATATATATATAAATTATCACCATAATACCGAAATTGTAATTGTTTTTCTTCTTCTTCCTATTCCATTTTCTAATTCTTTGGAGTTAAAATTCGGATATATCATCTTAAATTTATTTTTCTTTCCTTTTTGGTTATCCAAACTTTTTTCTGGCTCATTATGGTCATTTTTTTTGTTTTGTTTTCATCAACAACAACAACAACAAACGAATCCAAAACCATTTGACATAAATGTTTGTTTGTCGCCATAATAAACAAAATATTATACAATTGCACAAACATTAAGCTATAATTTTGTTGTTGTTGTTGTTGTTGTTGTTGATCTTTTTTAATCGTTTCTTTTTTTTCCAACTTTTATGACAATCATCATCATCATCATCATATAATTATTATTATTGAATAATTTATTCTTTTATTCTGTTTTTTTTTTTAGGACGATTCCTGTTTCAATACAACCACAGTGATCGGTGATGAATTTGAACAATTTATTGTACAGATAACGAATCTATCGAATGAACTGAAATGCAAGGTAAGTTGTATTCGATTTTGATGTTTTCACAGCCGCCCATCCCCCGTATATATATCTCCCTCCACTATATTTCGCTGTCATGTGTCATATTAACGATCAATAATTTATAAACAAATTGAATTGCAATTTTTTATTTTTGTTTTTCTTTACTTTCTTTTTTTTGGTTTTTTACACACGGTGAACGATTTTGTTTTTGGATCTGGAATTTTGTCGATCGATCGAATTCATATATACATATATATATTATATATGCGTGTTTGTGTTTGTTTGGGTGTTTGTGCATATTTTGTGTCTTGGTGGTGTTTTCTTTATATCGATTTCAACAAACGAATCGTTTTTTTCTTTGGTTGAATAATAATGATGAAAAAAAATAGCTACAAAATGTTGCCCTAGAACAAGCGGATGAACTATTTAGACATCATACGTCATCAATCGACCTGCCAGTATTGCTCAAAGGTTCAGCAATCGACTGTGATCATGAACAAATCGATGAACTTATTGAACAATTTCGTGAACATTCCGATCATGTTCAAGAGGTTTGTCGACTACTGTTTCATATATCACCAACTGCATCATTACAAGTGACCGCTGGCCATACAGAAACATCAATAGAAATACATGGTGAACAATTGCTTACAGCATTACATACATTATTACTATATTCGAATAGTAAAATTGTCAAAGAAAATTATGAAGTATTTGCTGATGTTTGGTCCACATTGATTGGTGATATTTCACAAATAATGCGTGATGTAAGTGACTTTCTTCGTGAACAACATGAACGTCAACCACCTCCACTTCCTATACCGCCTGTTCCACCTTCTGTTTCGCAACAACAACAACAACAACAATCATCACCATTACCATCATCATCGATGGGACGATTAGCTCCACCCGTAGCTACAAGGCCAATATTATCATCACCATCATTAGCTACGGCTCCAATTTCAATGAAAGGAGGTGTACCGGCTTATGGTTATTTAGAACCGGGTAAAGAACCAATACCAATGACTGGTGATACCGCCGGTGCCGATATGTATGGTGTGGCTGCAATGCCTGGTGCAGCTGCTGCCATACCGGATGCAGAAGATCCGGTTGCAGTTTCTGCCGCTGCTGCTGCTGCCGCTGCTAGTAGTGGTGGTGGTGGTGGCGGTGGTGGTGCTGGTGTTGTTCCTCGTCCGACAAATGTACAGATCAATCCGGAAGTTGAAGTATATGAGATTGAAAAATCATCTGCACCATCAGTTGATTTAGATGATAATGATATTGTACGAAAAGCTAAAGCAATGTCATCAATGGCAATGTCAATGTTTCAATTTACTCGTGGTGAAGGTGAATTGAAAACGACACAAGATTTATTCACTCAAGCGGAATTTTTTGCCGAAGAAGCGAATAAATTGTACAAAATCGTTAGACATTTTACCTATCAGGTATGTGTGAATGAATTTTTTGGTTTTATAAAAAAAAAAAGAAAAATTCTTTTTTCAACAAATAAGCAAGAATTTTTTTTCGTACGCCAACTTTCATTTCCATAGCTTCATTATTATTCAATCAATGAAGCCTACTATTACGCCTGACTTGACTTTGAATTTACTTTACTATTTTTTTTTTTAAATTTTATTTTATCGACAAAAATGATTTAGATTCCAACTGGTGCACCTAAAAAAGAGCTTTTGGATTGTATCGATCAGGTGCCAACTTATGTACAGCAATTACAATTTGCCGTTAAAAATGTAACCGTTGGTAAGACAGCTACTTTCACTAAAGTTGATAATGTTATACAAGAAACGAAAAATCTAATGTCAGTTATAACTAATGTTGTGAGCGCTTGCCTTAATTGTGCCAACAAGGTTTGTTTTCACCAATGATTGATTCATTTTCATTGAATTACTTTTTCTATTTTTTTTTCAAATATATATAGCATAATTTGGATATGCAAGGTGCATTACGTACACGTGCACGTACCTTATCACCATCATATCGACAGGATACCGAAATGTTTTTTGAAGGTGGTGCAATGTCCAAAGGTGGCGTTGCATCATCTGATCCAGACATCTGACAATTCGGTATGGGCCGTAGAGCCCTAAAAGCTTCGGGTGAAGGAGATGCGCGTCGAACACGCGTTTCTTTTTTACTCTTTTAGGGTCAAAATCCAGACGAGATTAGTGCAAATTTATACACAATATGATATAATATTTTATAGTAGTTTTAATATTAGTAATAAAATTTAAACGAATTAGGAAAAGAAAAAAAACATTCAACAAAACCAATCACACACACACACATACATCACTTTCAACCATTATTCATCGATCAATTGATTCTCAGAATTATTTATCATCATTAAGATTTGGATTTAAAAAAAATAAAATAAATGAAAACAAATATCTACCATCGATCTAACCTGAATATATCCACCAGCAAAAAAAATAAACATTCCATGGAAATCTATTGATAATCATTCATCATTACTGTAAAGACATCCGTATTCTTGTTGAATTCGTATTCGTTAACAATCAACAACAAACCATCAATCAGGATTGCCATCTTGAATCAAATTTGCATCGTCATTTTCACGTATGTTACAATCACACATACATACACAAACAATGATTCAGGAACTGACACAGTTTTTTTCCATTTACATTTCAACATCACATACCATTCTGTCACATGTCAAACAAAAAGGATTTATTTCAGCGTTTTTTTTTTGTTTTGTTTTGTCATTCCAGAATTTTTCTTTTTTTTGAGAATAACAAGAAAAAACAAAGGAACGAAAGAGAAAAAAAACAAAAAAATTCAGACAACCACAGAATCCCATTAATAATTAGATGGTGAAATTTTCAAATTTTAATTTTAGTGATTTTTTTTTTTGGTTTCGAAACAATTTTTTCCAGTTTTTTTTTCTCATTTTCATTCAAATATTCCTTCATTAGGTTGTCGCTCCGGGTGATCATTTTTTTCTGTTCTTCATTATTTTGCATATCTACATACCTTTAACTGTGGATTTTCTATGTATTCTATGATTCCTAAATGCTACACCATAGAATCGTAATCGGATAAGAATCAGAATATCCTTTGTTGTTTGACTATTTTTGCTTGCATTCATCTTGGTTCATTCTTATAATAGCCAGGAATGCAACAACAACAAAAACGAATCCAAATACAGAGATCATCATTATCATTGACCATGGACCATAGAATCATTGCTATTATATAACAACAAACGATAAACAATCAAGAGTAACAACAAAAGCAAAAAAAAAAGCAAAAAAAACGAGAAAAAACAGATTAAATTGTTTATGTTGTTGACGTTTTTTTTTGTCATTCTTTTGTTGTTTTCCCCTTATTCTACCGAAATATAAATTCTGAATACAAATTCGAGTTATCTCTTTTCTACGGATTTCTCAATAGTGTTCAGTTTGTTTTTCTGTGTGTGTGTTTGTTTGATTCTGTGAAATTTTTTTTCTTTCCACTTCGTTTAAATTATCAGCATTTTTTTCTCCGTTATTATTATTATTATCATTATCATCATCATTCGTAATGTCAACCCATCCAATGTGTTCCTACCATACACACACTCACACACACACAAACATCATCTTTTCCTTGTCATTCCCACTTTTGGAAGCATCCAATAAAATGTGAAAGCAAAAAAAAAAAAAAATGAAATGACGAAAATGTTTGTGAATGATGATGATGATGAAGGAATTTTGAATTCCATCGGATCATATATATATGGACCGAAATACATTGTAAATAGAAGAAAATAGAGAATTGTTTATATGTAGCAACAATTGTAGCTATAATGTCATCATGGTTTTATATAGAATTTTAAATTTTTTTTTTTTGTTTTGTTTTATTTCAAAGTGAAAATTTCTGAATTTTTTTTTCGTTTTCTGCCACTACTACTACTACTACTATTGTTTCTGGATCGCTGTTTATTGATCCACTTTTTTTTCATTTTTTAAATTTTTTTTTTTGGTTGTCATCCTTGTTTATAAGCTTTATTCTGAATATTCTTTTATCCAGAATTTCATCACATCATCATCATCATCATTATCAGACAAAAAAAAGCGACATGAAAAAAAAATCTTCATTTATTTAGTCAATAGTAGTAGTATTAGTAGTAGGGAGAAAAAAAAAAAATGAATCGAATCCCATGGTGAAAAAAAATAACGCTAGAATCGACAAACAAAAAAAAAAAACATTATTGACATTGATATGATAAAGGTAGATAATAACAACAACAAAAAGAAAAGAACCGAAGATAATAAGTGTATGAAATGTCTATTTATTTTGGATGGATCACCATCATCATCATCAAAAAAATACACAAAATTCTGACATTCAAACACCACCACCACCACCACCACTACTTTAGATAAAATGGATCAAAGACAATAATAATAATCATAGTAATTTATATTATTATCATTATTATTTTGATATGATTAGATGAAGTGCCTTTTTTTTGCACTACTCTTTTTGTATTATGAAATCGTATATTTCAATCTCTCTTTCAGACTCTGTTTGTTGAATGAATGAATGAATAATATAAAAGATAACGATATATATATATTCAGATAGATTCATGAATCATCATCATAAATCTATCTAAAATGGTGTGAAGAAATGAAAATGGCTACTGCCACACACACACACGAATACCATACACCACATAGATTGTAGAAAAAAAAATTTGCCATTTCGATGATGATCATCATCATATATGAATAGCGGTAATCATCAACAAACGTAACCAAAAAAATAAAAAAAAAAAAATGAATGAATGAATTGTAGTAGTATGTTTATAAATCATTTATGGTAATCATTTTAAATGTAAAAGAAAAACATTAAGGGTAAGTGAAAATGAAAAATGTTGGCTTATGTGGTCCGTATGATGATGATGATGATGATGACGATTCGAATACGTGAATGAATGAAGTGAAAAAAAAATGGGAGAGCAAAGTTTTTTTTTTCTTTGGCCATGTAGTTTCTGGATTTTTTTTTTGCTAAATTTCAACCGTTTTCTACTCACGAGATAGACTCATTTCCTTATATTTTTTTTTTGGGTTTTTTTTTGTTCTTCTGCCCAGATACCACCAAGTGATGTCCATCTTCATCAAGCCAAACTTCCGATGATGATGATAATGATGATGATGATGATAACGCTAATGACCATAGTAATAATAAAATAATGCCCACCACCACCACCATGAGATAAGAATAAAAACCGAATGAAATGAATTCAAGAAAAAAAAATTGATAGTGAAAGTGTAGAACAACAAAAAAAAATGTGAATAGATCCAGAAGAATTCTGAAGGATTCTGATTTTTTTTCTCGATATTTTCACATTGAAAAAGAAAAAACTTTTTTTTCAATTTTGTAGCATTTTAAATTCTTTCATCATCATTTCATTCACACACAAAAAAAAACTGTACAACGATGACAATGACTGAATATTTTGATATTGGATTAAATGAATAGAAATATTTGGATGCTTTCTCTGCCTTCTTGCTTCCCACCCCCTTCTCATAACTTTGATGATGATGATGGTGATGATGATGATGATAGGAAGAAAAAATTGATTAGAATTCGATTTTTTTTCGCGCTCTCTCTCTCTCTCGTTTACTTTCATATTAGTGTGGGGAAAAAAAATTGTATTGAAAATAAAAATGAATGAAAATAGTCGATGCCGTTCAAATTCAGTAATAACAAAATCCGACAACAACAACAACAACAACAACAATGCAATAATGATTAAAGTGAAAATCCAGATGCCATGCAATGCAAAAATAAAAATTCTGATGAAATAGAGATTTGAAAAGAATTCATAATTTTTTTTTATTATGGAAGAGAAAAAAAAGGATTATATTCTTGAATCTGACAAAAAAAAGAATATCCACACATAGTGGAGTCATCATTTTGCAGTCATTTTATATTTATGTAAATCATCATTGTCCATGAATGAATGAATTTGGATTTTATTTTTGGATACAAATTTTTTTTTCTTTCCAGTAGCACTTTTTTTTAAACACTGAAACAAACAAAATAGCCAACAAATTTCGTCACATTCTGGTATATATTCATTTTACTTTACTTGTCATTTTTAATGAGTATGCACATTTTTTTTCATGTTTATGTTGGAAAAAAAAAAAAAAAAAAAAATTTCAAATTTTGTTTTTTCCATTTTTTTGTTCAAATGGATTTTGGCCCTGATCAATATTGATAATTCTTTTTTCTTTTCTTTTGATTATTATTATTCATTGAATGATGCATAATAATAATCGAATGAATATAGTAGATGGTAGTAGTAGTAGTAATTCTTTAAAATTATTGTTGCATAATGAAAATGAATTTTCTCTTTTCTGAGAATATTCTATTCACAATATTCTCACACTGTAAAGGTCACACACACACAAATACTCTTGATATTAAGCTCAATATTTATCTCGATATCATCATAATTGCACACACACACACACACACACACACAAAATCAATATGCTCAGGATTTTTGCAGATTTAAAACACACAAAATAGACAAAAACAACAATATATCATATTCATTCACACACAAATACACAGTTACCGCTGTTGCCGAAAATCGCATCACACTCATAAAATTAAAAATAAACAGAAGCCTCAATTTGAAAAAAACAACAGGAAATATCACACACACACACAGTATACCCAATGCCCAGTTTATAGCACATTTTCAATTTTTTTCCTGGATTTAGATCAACAACAAAAAAAAACAAAACAACACACTGGACACTGGACACATTCATATGAAAAAAAACTGTGATAAGATTCCATGATTTCAACAACAAAACAACAACTACAAGATAAACAAACAGAAAAAAAAACTTTTTCATAGTAACCGGATAAAACAAAGTTTTCCTTTTTTTTCCATTTCACGTATTTTCATTTTCATTTTTGTTTCGTCCAAATTCTTCTTGATCCAAATTTTTTTTTAGCAAAATATTTTTCCCGTCAGACAGTACACACAATATCAGGCCATTTTACAAAAAAAAAACAAATTAACCCGTCTAATACTCACATATACACACACACACACACATTGCCCACCTTATACATTAACCCTAATCAACAGAGCTCATATACCCGAAAGCATATCGTTGGTTCGTTTGTTCGTTAATTATTTATTATTATCATTCGTACACATCATTTCAAACCAGATCGATTTCAGATCAACATTTCAGAATTTATCGATTAATTTGATTATATTATAATTTATATCGACATATTATTAATCAATCATATATTCACCGTATCAAAAGATTCTACCAGATTTTTTTTCATGTTCCTGTGTGTGTGTGTGTGTGTGTTTGTTTTTTAAATTGTAGTTTTCGCTGCATAATGATACTGATGATGATCGCGACTGACATTGATGATACAAGCCTTAGAATATGGTTAAAATGAGAGTTTCACTTTTTTTCATCTTTTTTTTTCTTTTGAAAATTTACTTTATTCAAAGGAAAATTCTTGACTTTTTTTTTTTCTCTTGAATTCTGTGTGTTTGTGTGTAATTTTTTTTTTGTATTTATTTATCTATACCTGTGTGTGTGTGTGTATGTTAAACCTAACATAAAAAGACAAAAATTCTTATTCATAAATAAAAACCACAACAACAACAACAAAATTCCAACGTTTTTTTTTACATTACATAATGCATATTCTAACAGAAAAAAAAACAAATTGAAAAAGAAGAATATTTCCACTAAAACCCACACACAAACACGCAAATCACACAATAGCTGCGGTGATGATGATGATGATGATCATTTTATAAATAAACAAAATGAGAAATAAAAAAATGAAATTCCACATGAAATGAAAAACAATAGAAAAATTTTCTAAATGAATAAATAATTATGTCGACAACAACAACAACAACAAAAGCAAATTTAAAAGAATTTTTCACATTTCATTTTTTTCTGTTTTCTCATCATCACATTTTGTGTTTTGTTCTTTTGTTTGTTTTTACACTGTTGTTCCACACTATTATATAATGATGATTGTACAATTATACAACAACAACAACAACAACAACATTACTCTCAACCATAAAATAAACACACATCCACACACACACACCTACAAGAATAACAATCTCTCTCTCTTTCTATCTACATTTTTTTCGATAATAATTACAGTAATACCTCGTTTTATGTTTTTCAAAAATTTTCTTGCTCTTAAATTGAATAGGGCTTGTCATACAATAATGTAAATACATATCTGGTCTGGTCTATATTTATATAAATATTTGACATTTGAGAATTCGTAATTTTTGGAAAACAAAACCAAAAAAAAAAAAAAAAAAACAATTATAACGATGATGAAAAAACAAAAAATTTCAATTCAAAAACAAAATGAAAATGGAAAAAAAATGCGCTTTTTCATGGTTTTTTTTCTTGTAACATAAAACACTCTATACTATATACATATGTAATAAACCACCACATAAATCAATTATAATAAATAGAATCTTCATCTACAACACACAAACACAGACCAACATTCTTTTTTGTCCTGTTCAAATATGACATACATACAATTTTAATTCAAAACACAATTACCTGATTAATAAAATGATGATTGACCTGATTTTTAATTAAATTAATTCAAATTAATGATTCTAAACATTACCTTTTTTTTCACATGTCTTTGTTTTCTATTCACTTTTTTTTTCGTTCATGTTTGCTAAATAATAATAAAAACAAAAAAGTTTTGTCGTCGTCGTCGTCGTCTTTGGAAACAAATATTAAAAAAAAAATGAAATTTACAAATAAAAATAAAATAAAATTTTGAAATTTTTCGATTCTGTTTCTTTTTTTTGTATATTAAACGATACAAAATGGCAACATGCACAGAATTTTTTTTTTTTTTTTTTTTTGGTAACAACAGCTGACAAGAGTGAATAAAAATCACTACTATTCTGTATATATAGTAGTCAATTATAATCAATGTCTTTGTACGGAAACTTTATATAACTTTAATTTCTCATTTGGATATAAATTATCATTAATTTTTCTGGTATGAAAATATTCCAAAAAAAAGAGAAAGATTTACATATTATGATTCTGTTTATTATATATGTAGCCATCTGTTTTTATTTTCATAATAATCAATTGCAAAAAAAAAAAAAAAATTCTTCATTCATAGAACGAAAAAGAAATTCAAAGTTTCAAAATAGCCATCATCATCATCATCATAATCGTTTGCGTTGTTCAAGTTTAACGATATTCAACAACCACCACCACTGCCACCACCACATCATCATTATCAACACAAATGATGATTGTGGCCAAGTAAAGTTTTTTTGTTTTGTTTAGAGAAAGAAAAAATTTATTCTTGAAACAAAATTTAATTTTTTTTTTGCTTTTTATTCGAATACCTAGAATCCTAGAATCTTTGGTCCTAGAATGACGTGACGTGATGTGTTATGGCCACTGGAAAACCTGCAACGAAAAATGGAAAATAAAAAACAACAAGTCAACTGAAATTTGAAAACGGAATTTTTTTTATTCTTTGATTATTTTGATTTTTTTTCCAACCTTTTTTTTTGATTGTTACGAATATTCTCCGCACACACACACACACACACACACATGTACAGATGTGGCTGAATGAATTTCGAATTTCATACGTTTATTGCTTATTGCAATTCATTAAACAAAACAAAAAAAAAAAAACAAAATGCCAACAATGATGCCAGAGTGGTGTGCCATTATATTGTGTGTGTGCGGAGGGTTGTGTAATTGACTGTTCCTATGGAATAATGATGATGATGATGTTTTGTGTTTAAATTACAAACAAACAAAAAAAAATTCTTGTCCATTCTATCATAGCAGTAGTAGTAGTGGTAGTTGAGACGATAGTTTTTTTTCTCGTTCCACTTGATTCTGGATGAAAAAATAAATAAATAAAAACGAAAATTTTTTTGTGAAAAATTCTGTCAAAACAAAAAAAAACGAAAATGAAAAATAAATAAACCTAACACACACACATAACACACTTCATTTCATTAGTTTTAATCTATTTTAGTTTGTTGATGTTCGTTGTTGTTTGCATTCCAGGAATATATAATGGGAAGTTTTTTTTCCAAAAAAAGAAAAGAAAAAGAAAAAAAATCATTTTATAAACAACAAACACTAACCGATTGATGTGTTTTTGTTTGTGTTTATATATGTGGTTGATGTCAAGAATAAAATTGAGACTAAAATTCAAATGAATAAATAAATGAACGACAATAACAACTACAACAACAACAATGAACCAAAATCTGTGAAAAAAAAAATTGGTCCGAACACATTGGTGATGTATTCCAGGCACTAGTTCTTTTTTTTGACAAATTCTATCTATGATAAAGTCAATGATAATGTTGACATCGAAGTGTTTATTAGAGCGAGAGATAGAGTGTGTGAGTGTGTGTGTGGAAGAAAAAACAACCAAATCCAAACTATGTAGAATTTACCATTGATAAATTGCATCATCATCAGTGATCCAGAATAAAGTAATCAGCAAAGTTACCTTTTTTTATATGTACATCTATGGAATGATGATTCGTTTGATTTAGATATTTGACCATAGAAAGAGAATTTGTGTGTTTGTTTAGATAATTTAATTTTCTGGCTAGTGGAATTATTCACTTTTGTTCAACGAAATTGAATAATGATGAATCACAATCAATGGAAATGAAAAATCAATTTATTTTTCCACCGAAATCATTTGTCCAGGCAGCCAATTTATGTGATGGTGGTTGGTGGTCACCATCATCGTCATCAATTCAATTTTTTTACAGGCCAATGACATCATCAGTTATTGTATTATAAAAATGGACAAGAGAAAAAAAAATTTGTAACTTTGATTTGATTATCATCAAGCACGCGTTCATTTACATTAATAAATTACGACAATGAACGAACAATATTCATTCATAATGGGCAATGATGATGATGATTGGAGATTGGGCAACAACAACAACAACAACAACAACAACAACAACGACGACGACAGCAGCAGCAAAAAACAAATCTAAATCTAGATTGACATTAATTTCCTACACGCCTTATTTTCATTCGAATATGCCGCCTATTTCATTTCACATCTACATTATTCAGTTCAATTTGAAAACAATCTGAAAACTTGTCATCATCTTTCCTCCTTTTTTTTTTTATTTCTTGTTTCATATTTCCGATGAAAATGTCAACATACACAACAACAACAAAAAAATTGAAACAAGGATCATAACATCGTGAATGAAACATTTTCATTCATAATGAGCTTCTTCACACACACACCCTCGAAACAAACGACCTCGAATACGAATATTATGGGTGAATGGCAATGGTTTTTCTATTTTATTTTTGTTGGATTTTTTTTTCTCTCGTTTGTTCAAGTCGGATCGCTTCTGGTTCTTAACACACACACAGACACACGCTATATCCCATCCATCCTAATCATCAACAACAACCAACCATCTTGAGTATTTTTAACAAGCCACATCCGTTCATCAAATTTTTTTTTGTTTGTTTGTTTGTCATTGGCTTTTTTTTGGTTATTTTTTTTTTCTGTTTGTTCAGTGTTTGTTGACAAATATAAATCTCTACAAATCTTGAGTTTTTTGAACAAAAAAAAATATGATACAAAAATATTCAACAACCATCATCTACCACTACCTAAAAATAGAGCATCCTTCTTCAAATTTTTTTTTTCTTTAATTTCAGAATACCAGAACAAACAAACAAACAAACAAAAAAACAACCATGTGTGATACTGCTGTTTGTGTGTGTCCATCGGACAAGTTGTACATTTATATTTGATTGAATGAATCCTGGTTTCATCATTCTATTGACATTTGTTCTATTTGATTCATTATTTTAATCACTTTCAAATACGCATCCTGTTTTCAATTCGTTGGTGTGTGTGTGTGTGTATGTGTATGTTGTTTATGTTCCGTTTGTCAGCTGTATTGAAATTATTAAGTTTATACAATCAATTTGATTTGATAATGAAGGACTGTTGTTTACCAAAGATTTTTATCTTATTATTTTTATTTTGTTGTTGTGAACGATTTTTTGTAACAATTATTGATGCAAAACAACAACAAGAGCAACAACAACAACAACAACAACAACAACAACAACAGCAGCAGCAGCCATTAAATAGCCGGACCCAGAATTTTATTATTACCCAGACAACCGATGCAACGGCCAATGATGAAGAAGCTTTAGTAGCTGAAGATGCAGCCGCTGTTGCTGCCGTTTCACATTTAATCGATCGTCATGTTTTCCATTATCAAGAATGGTCTTCCGATTTAAATTATACAAAATTGCTTAAAAATTGTTCCTTTGTTGACAATGATTTGTTCTGTGATTGTGATCTATTGTCTAGGACATTCATCTGTTACAATGTACAATCGGTCGATCAGATTCGTCGAGCATTCGATCATCTATTGAATGCTACACGTTCAATATATTGGAATCGATTGGAAATCCATTGTATTGAACCATATTCAAATGATGATCCAACAACGGCCACTGGTTCAGATAATAGTAGTGGTGGTGGAACAACAAAACAATCAACAATACCACCAAATAAAAGTTTTCATATTTCATATGAATTGTTCACTGATGGTCCTCGTTTTGATTCAATTTTATTTGTTGGTGATTGTTCAAAACCAAGACATTATGATAATTTAATTGCGGTCGATCGTGATGTACAGCAAATTATAATGCATAGAAATATGTTAAGAATATCTACATCTTGTAGCCTATTTCAACCGAAATTCGAAAGGCTAACTGAACTTATACTTAAAGATTGTCTAGTGGCTGGCGATATGATTTCCTCAACATTCTCCACCCGTTGTCTTGGCCATTATGGAACACGAAATGAGCCAATGCAATTGTCCAAATTGATCATATCATCATGTAACATTTCATTGATTGAAGGCGGTGCATTCTATAATTTTGCCGAACTTGAATTGATTGATCTAAGTAGGAATCAGATTACACATTTATCACGACAAGCATTTGCACCACATCTATATCGTTTACGAACATTAAAACTTCATCATAATAAACTAACAAGTTTGAATGGAGAATTTTTCGAAAAATTACCAGAACTTCGTGAAGTTTTATTATCAGAAAATCGTCTACAAACTTTACCATTTTTACCAAGTGCCGGTCCAGGCGTTGCACAAGTATTACGATTGGCAGAAAATCCTTGGGATTGTCGTTGTCGATTAACATGGATATTAGAAGAACCAATGGATTCTGTTAGATTAATATCCGATGAACCAAGATGTGAAACGCCTATAAATTTTCAAAATCAAACCCTATTTAAAGGACTACAATTGATAAAACAAACTTTTTGCTGATTTATTCGACCATAATAGAATACACACATATACACACACACACAAACATTTATATAAATTTTTGATAGTCATCATTATTAAAAGAGCGAGAATCATACAAATAAATCCATGTTACAAACACACACACGCACACACAGACATTTTTGGCACTGGTGTCCATAATTCTTGATGATGATGATGATGATGAGGACAAATAGACCATATATACTTGACAACAACAACAACAACAAAAAATACAGCAACAACAACAACAACAACAACAAAAATCACTGAAACATTATAATCATAATATATAATAATGAACAAACAAGTCAAACAATAATTATTTTCGAGTATATAACACAATACGATTAAGATGGTTAATTTAATTTAATTTAATTTTGTTCCAATTCCGATTCATCATCATCATCATCATCGTCATCGTCATCATTATCATCGTTCTAATCACCATTTTGTAAGTTTGTTTGAATAAACATTAGTAAATAAAATAATTTCTGATTTGTTGTTGTTGTTGTTGTTGTTGTCATTTTATTATTATTGTTGAACATCTGCTGTGTAGAACAAAATCATTGGAATGATGATGTAAATTTTTATTTCTATATTTTCTTTGATGATTATTGTTGGTGATGTTTTGATAAAGTTCATTTGGTGTTGGCCATAATACAATACTATTGGCCATAGTGTTTTTCATCATTGAAATTTTTTTTACCAAAATTTCAATGAACAAAATTAATATTGATTTGATGGAAAAAATACAATATATAGATATGATGGCTTGTATATCATTGATGGACAATGACATTACTTCGAAATCATTTATCGTATGTTTATGGTTCATTTTTGTATATATTTCCACTTTATTCTGATTCAATGTTTCAATCACCCAATAATTGTATAGGCCATTTTCCGATAACGATATTATCCTACGGGCATTACCCAAATAACAACATGATAATCATATAATTAATTCTTGGAAATTCATTTCATCTTAATATTTTGCCACTTACATTTCATTCAACGAATGATCCATTTCATTGGAATTTTTATTACTTAATGGAAGAAAATATGGCAATACAACATCATTTCTAATTGATCGATATAGATTGGGAAATTTATTTAAAAACACATATTGAAAATAATCCAGATAATATTCATCGCTTATCATTGCTAATTTTCGATCATTTATCTCATTGGCTATCTTGTTTTCCCAATCTTCAATATCTTCATTTGGAGGATCTGTTGAGTAAAAAAAATAATTTAAGAGAAAAAGATTCATGATAATCAAACCTTCAATCAAAAAACGATTTTCAAGATCATAATAGAATGGATGATCAAATGCTGTCAAAATTGTTTGTGATGGTTCACCTTTGAATAGAAAAACTTTCATATTTCGATGGTTGACTAAATCATCTAATGTATCGATTCTATCATAAGCATGTCCAAATTGATTGAGCGCTAGTAATATGTATGATAAAAAAAGTTTCAGAAAAAATGTTAACCATATCAAATTTAGCAATAAAAAACGGATTTTCTTGTCATAATCTAATCTTGGTATTGGCTGTCCGAAAAGTGTTCGTATCATGTCGTAAATTATTTTCAATTTCATTGAACCAAAAATTAATCGATTGAAAGTTAATATAAAAATACCGATGAATATAAAGTATAAAGCATAAAGATGTACAAATGGATCGTTGAATGAATTGAATACAGACCAATTTATTTTTAATTTTTTCGTTCCTGAAATAATGCTCATCATCGGTACATCGCTCATTATTCTACTTAGATGAATGTGTTCTTGAACATGTTCATTGAATAGATTCATTGGTGTATAAGGCGAAAGAACCACATTGATGCCATTTTCCTTGAAATCTGAGAATGGTAATGTTTCATTTCCTAAATCGGGTATGTATGTTATGCTAAATTATGTTCATAACAAAAAAAGATTTAACAATTTATTCATCACATACGGAACATTAACACTTACTTGCTTTTCAATCTATTGGCCAATTCGATTAGATATCCTAATAATGGGCCACATATGACTGTTGAACTGTTACGTTCCAGATTGATTAGATTGATAAATGGTGGCCAAACTTCAACAGAAAATATGATATTATTCATCATTTGTTCAGGTGGTAATGTTCGATGAAAATGATGCTGTTTTTGATATTCAAATTCTTCACAAAAACGTGATTTCATAATTGATTGCCACTTGAATCATGAATATAATTTTCAAAATACACTAAATGATAAAAAACTAAATATTTGGATCGAAAAATGGACACATACAATGACGATGATGATGAGATTCCGATCGAATCTGTCATTAAAAATAAAATCAAAATGATCACAAGACTTAGAGAATGCTAAATTTATTATGTGTGTAAATCATTCATCATAATTATTATTTTGAAAGTAGTGACACAATATTACAATGAAAAAGAAAATATTCGATAATTGCAGAGGCAAAACTTTTCAATTCTGTATTATTTTCGATCGCAATACATTTGGTGCGAACAAAAAAAAAATATTATGGAACTAACCACATGCACTATTGACAAACTCACGTACCAAAAAAATGATAACAAGGGACACGCAAAAATACAATCCACACTTGATTTCTGACGTTGTAATAGGAGGAGGTGGTGGTGGTTATAATTCGTTCATTTTCATCAAAATCGTTGTGGAAATGTCGAATGCTAAAAAAAAGGTAATTGGTTTGGATATTTTTTTTCCCCGGTTCAATTGTTTTTGTTTTTCGTCATTTGTCGATGGATGATTCACATCTAGGTGGTTACTGTGATAATTATTGGCTGTCTTTCAAACGACCACTCTTGAATGAAATCAAAACAAGGAATCGATTTTAGATTTAATCAATAAAGTCTGTGTTTTGGATTTTTATTTTCTCTATACCATCACATAATAAAGTGAATGATGATGATGATTGGTAATGGGCAAAAACTAGGAACTATTTTTTAGTAAAAGAATGCTTTTAGCGGCATCTATTTGTTTACTTGGGATTTATTAATAAAATTTTATTATTATTGAAAATATTATGATCCCATTTTTTTTCGAATTAAATTATTTCCAATTTTTCTTCATTCATTCGAATTTAGTATTGTTATTATCCTTTTCTCTTGCCATCATCATTTTTACGAATTTCAAAAACGAACGAGCTAAAAGTTTGAGATTCATCAATTATTGACATGTTTCTTGAGCAAAAAATCCCATCGGACGTTTTCGTATGAACCAACGTCGTATTTCATCATATGTAAACATGTAAATGGTGAATGGAATCGCCGTAAACCAACCATACCACCATCTAAAGAGGAAATAAAATGAAAAGAAAGAAAAAACGATTAATCGGGATTTCATTTATAGAAATGCAATGTTGTTTACTTGAGTGGATAAAGTTTTAAAATTTTTTCGATACCAGGACAATATACAAGAAATAGAGCGATAATCGTTTCGACAATCAAACTCATATTCAATACATGATTGCTCATTCCTTGTTGAAGAATGGAATTAACACGTGTTTTACATATAATAAGATCCATCCATTGACAAACAACAATCGATACAAAGAATGAAGTTTGACAGGTATATTCGAGAATTTTTCGTTTCTTATAAGTCTAATTTTTTTTTGGGGGAAAGAGATAATTTAAGATTATCATCAGGAAAAACTTGTTTATTTTATTATCATTCAAACATACCCATTCTTGGTTATATATATCGATGATAAGATAATTCTTATCGTCCCAATATTCACGAAGATGATACAGTTGTGTGATGTAGAATCCATGATCGGCCATGACACAGAAATAGGTAAAAAATCCAGCAGCTGCTTGTATCATACCAAGCTGAAAATAGGATCGATGAATCAATTTTCCAGTGACAAGATGATCAACTTTAGGATTTCGAGGTTTTCGTTTCATTATATCTGATTCAGCTTTCTCATAAGCCAATGAAATCGAAGGAAATATGTCCGTACCAAGATCAATGCAAAGTATCGTTATAGTTCCAAGTGCTAATGGAAATCCAAACAAAACGTAGAATATAAATGGAACAATTTCAGAGAAATTCGAAGCCATTACATAGGAAATAGATTTTTTAAGATTGTCAAAAATCACTCGACCTTCTTCAATGCCAACGACAATCGATGCAAAATTATCATCCATTAATACCATATCGGCTGCTTCTTTGGACACATCTGATCCATTGATTCCCATCGATATACCAATATTGGCTTTTTTCAATGCCGGTGAATCATTAACACCATCACCGGTCATAGCTACAATATGACCTAATCGTTGACAACTATCAACGATTAAAAGTTTTTGCTGTGGACTTGTTCGAGCAAAAACTATCTCTCGATAATGTTCCACTAGATGATCCAATTGATCATTGGTGAATTGATTGAGAATCCAACCTGGTATTACAATGGATTTTTCCTCATATTCTATCGTCTGCTCTTGTTCGTCGTCTTGTTTTGTCGAATTGGATTTTGAATTGGACAAAAATTCTTTCAATATATCATCGCTAAGAATAGTAATATTTTCATCATTTTGTGAAATGATTCCAACTTGTTTGGCGATTGCTTTAGCCGTAATCGGATGATCACCAGTCACCATAAAAACTCGTATTCCAGCTTGACGACATTTTTCAACTGCGTCCGGAACTTCTGGCCTAGGCGGATCAATCAATGACATAACACCCAATAATGTAAATTTTGTTTCAGCAATAAATTTATCGTTCAATGTTTTTCCATCATCTTTAGTATCCAGAAGAGAATGATAGTCATTTGTATAATATTCGGAAAATGCCAATACACGTTCACCCATTGAAGCGAAAAATGTGCAAACATTGTTGAGATCCTGTTTAGTTTCCGTTTCTAATTTCAAACATTGTCCTTGTAACAATATTGATCGGCAAAGTTTCAGAACAATTTCCGGTGCACCTTTTAAACAAATCAAATATTTATGCTTAGCATGTGGTTCATATTGGCTAATATCATGGACGGTAATATGAAATTTATTAGTAGAATTAAACGGTATCTCATGAACAATCGGATGCCGTTGACGAATCTTTGTAATATTAATTCCTATTTTGTCAAGTAATTTCAAGAAGGCTACTTCGGAAGCATCACCACGATAGATTCTGAAAAAAATATGAATAAGAATAAAACTTTAAACATTTATTATTGCTTCCAATTTACTTACTTTTTATGATTGGAATCATTTTCGTGTTCTGCTTTGCTGCAAAGGGCTGTAACTCGAAGAAAATCTTGGAATCGATTTTTTTCACTCAATAATTGTTTAAGGCTATGCATTGTATTGGCCAACAATGGTTCGATTACTTTATTGTTGAACCAAATATGCGAAACATGCATCTTATTCTGTGTCAATGTGCCGGTTTTATCCGAACAAATAATCGATGTTGAACCTAATGTTTCCACAGCTTCAAGATTCTTGACCAGACAATTTTTTTTACTAAGAGATTTAGCCGTAAGCGTTAGACAAACAGTAACTGTTGCTAATAATCCTTCGGGAACGTTTGCAACAATGATTCCGATAAAAAAGATTATAGCATTTATAAAACTATATCCCATTATAAGTGATAGCAATAAAAAGTTCAATCCCAAAAATAGTGCAAAAATGGTAATAATTTTGATAAATCTATTGATTTCTCTTCCAATCGATGTTTGACTTTCTTGTTGATGAGTTAAAGTGGCAATCTTTCCAATGACAGTTTGATCACCGATTCGAATAGCAATACCACGAGCACGTCCTTCAGTACAGTATGAAGAAAAGAATGCAAGATTTTCAGCTTCTAATGGATTTTCATTTTTCTGTTTCAATTCAGCTGTACGATGTTGTGGTTCACTTTCACCAGTTATAGAGGAATTATCAAATTTACAACCATATGCTTCGATTATTCTAATGTCGGCAGTAACTTGATTGCCACCGACAACTTCAATAATATCACCGAGTACAATTTTTTTCGAATCAATTTCTAATAATTTACCATCACGTATTACATGTGCTACATGCGGAATAAGCCCTTTAAATGATTCCATAATAGCTGATGATTTGGATTCTTGATAATATGCAAACGCCCCAGTTATGACAACAACGACAATCAAAGCGATTCCAAGATAAAGCTGCGACAATAAAAATATTCATTCATTAAATAAATTTCTAAAATGATCATTAATTCTTACTGTTTCTTGATCTTCAGTAATAAAGTAGGATATAATGCACAATGCGGCCCCAACCCATAATAACATTGAGAATCCACTAAACATGAGTTTTACAAATTTAATTATTTCTGGAGTTTTCTTCGGTGGTGTTAATTGATTTAGGCCATTTTGTTGAGATTTTTCTCGAACCTGTTCGCTGGTTAGTCCATGATTCAAATCGGTTCCATATCTTGCGGCAACTTCATTGATGGTCATCAAATGCTCATCAATATTAACATGATGTAATTTTGATGGACTTTCTGTTTTACCATTTTTGTTGGTCGCAATCGAAGACATAATTTTGAAAACACTTGGCGACAAAAATGAATTCTCGTTTCATTTCTTGATTTAATGGATTTAAATACTCTTAATTTAATCATTGTAATGATTTAAATGTCGAAAAATAATTAAATTTACAAAATAAAGAATTTTTGCCAAAAATCGACCTGTTGTTTTTCGGACGTACTTTATGAAGAATGCAGAATTTCGACGTGGTCCACAATTTCACATGAGATTTTTTTCATGTTGCAATATTGGAAAAAACCATGGATTCTGAGCCTTCCAACGATAATTTGGTAATCGAATCTCAATCTCAAGGTAAGTAATTGATAAAGAATTTTTTCCTTTCTAATCGAAATTCAGATTTAGTAGAGAATAGCGATAATTCAGTGAGATGCTCGTCAAAAGTCAACAGAAAAAAACAACAAAAAGTCATAAACATTACGAAGCCTAAATCTTGTAAAAGAGGAATCGTATATCTAAGCTATATTCCAGAAGGAATTACTGTAAAAAATATCCGTCAAATACTGTCCAAACATGGCGAAATTGAACGAATCTATCTGGAAAAAGATTCATCACTGAAAAAATCACAAAAACGTACGAAAAAAATTTATCGTTATACTGAAGGATGGATAGAATTCAAAAAGAAAAGTGTTGCTAAAATGGTTGCAAATACATTGAATGGAAAACAGATTGGTGGTAAACGTCATACAAAATTTCATGATGCATTATGGAATATGAAATATCTTAAACGATTTAAATGGAGCCATTTAGCTGAACAAATGGCTTATGAAAAAGCTTTAAGGGATCAAAAACTTCGTCTGGAAATTGGCCGTGCTAAACGTGAAGCAACATTCTATGCTGAAATGATTGAACGTAGTCGACATAAAAGAGCCATTTATAATGATAATAATCGAACATATAAACAACGAGTGACTGATGAACAAATACGACAACAAAAACCAAATCCAAATGAACTTGATGAAGAATTATTAGAAAGTATTTTCAAATGATCATCATCATTGTTTTATTTATTTAAAATTTTATGTACATAAAATGAATATTAATAAAAAATATATTTTTTACAACAATCATATATGATGTTCAAAGTTTTTCATCCGATGGATCAGTTGTATTGAAATAATATAATGAATTATTAAAATTATCCAGATCAATATAATTGTCTTTATTATTATTGTTTTCTTGAATGGCCAACAACATCTTCATTAGATGATATTTGATTTGTGTGAATGTAAATCGATCATCTGCTTTATATGCCCAACAGCTTTTCATGAGATCATACAAATGATCATTACAATGTACTGGTTGTGAACAGATATTGCCTTGTCTAATGTAGTTAATAACTTCAGGTGCACTCATACCGATATATGGCGTCGATCCTAATGTAACAATCTCCCATAACGTAATGCCAAATGCCCATACATCACTTTTTATTGAAAATATTCCCATTGTCAATGCTTCTGGACTCATCCAACGGACTGGAACTTGGCCACCATGTTTCATTTCATACATATCGCAATCTTTATCACGTATACTTCGACTAAGACCAAAATCGGCCACTTTACAATTTTTATTCTCATCAATCAATATGTTACGAACGGCTAAATCACGATGTATAATCTATTTTATGAATGAATTGAATAAACAATAATTAATAACGAATGTGTAGAGATAAAAAAAAATTGTAATTCGATTTGAACTCACTCCATGACTACTTATGAATTCCATTCCTTTCGAAATTTGATAGGCAAAATGAATCAAATCATAAGATGACAATGATTGATCATTTATATTTTGTTGTGAATGTTTATTCATTGGTTTTGAAAACGATTTACGATTAATCTCACCATAACCATTATTGTTATTATTTGTTTGATGATAATAAGTCATGTAATTATTATTGTTGATAAATGGCCCATTTGAATTTGGATTTGTATGTTGATGTTGATTATTATAATGTTGTGCCGTAGTCGTCGAAGATTTAGAAGCTGCTGCTGCTGCTGTTGAATTATAATCATTGATGACATCCAGATAATCATCTCGACGTTTTCGTAGATATGATAATAATTTTCCTTGCGCTACAAATTCCATCACAATGTAATATGGCTCTTTTTTTTGTATTTGTAAAAAAAAGTCAAATTATAATTTGATTAATAGTCTGATGGATCGTCAAATTGTTCTCATCCATACACTTACTGTTTTCTGTACAACAACCTAGTAAACGGACAACATTTGGATGTGATCCCAATTGTACCATGATGTCTAATTCTTTCAATAAATCATCCTGTTGTTCACTGTTGTTTTCCATCACTTGATAGATGATTGGCAAAACAAAAAAAAATGGAAAAAAAATAGAAAAGCAAAATAATATTTAGAAAAAGATGACCTTTGAATATGAAACATATTTTTTCAAACAAACATTTATTCGTTTTAACCGCAACAAGCTGTATATTATTATTATCTTTATTGCCAAAATAATGACTACGTGCTTTCCATACTTGTCCGAAATTTCCTTCACCAAGAATTTCTAACATTTCTAGAGAATTTCTTGGAACTTCGTAATTAGAATGCACTGGACGACTACGTACAATACCATTTGATCGTCTTACATTGATTAAATTATTCAGAGTAATATTTTTCTGATTATAACGTTTGTTACAATCTTGAAAATTGTTGTTATTATTATTATTATTGTGATCACCGTTATTATTGCGACGGCAATTATTGTTACCATATTGTTCATAATCAAATGTTTGATTTGGCGAACATTCGTCGTTTTTATTGATGAATGGATTTCTACAACATCGATTATGCATTCCACACCAAGCCAATGCACCGATACAAGTTGGCACGAAACCAATGAAAAAAATCAAATAGATATGTACAGATATTTGAGATTGATTTAGATTATCATCATTCGATTTTGAATGTGGTAATGGTGATGTATGAGGCATTGAAGTTGTTGTCATTGATGTAATGGTTGTTATGGTCGACTGTTGTTGTCGAATATCATTCACAATCGATAATGGATCATTCATCCCATTTTCAAGATATATTCTTCCTGTTGATTCTTCAAGAATCTCAGATGATTTCAATGGTGATGAGCTAGAATTTTGATCATTATCAATTGTAATCGAATCAATAAATGAAGTAATGTACACAAAAATTATTATCACAATTATGGTCAAATGTGATGACCACCAATATTGAAAAAAATTATTTCTATTATAAAATGGCATTTTATTGCTGATGATGCCATGAAAAATGATGTCCAAAAACACACAAGAAAAACGAAATTAGACGAAAAACAAATTGAATAAATTCTTCAAACACAATCACATTTTGTTCTAAATTTGTTGATCGACATTCAAATAAATAAATGAATTGTTGGCCAAATTCCAGATCATCCTACGCGTTATTTACAATGACATTAACATCATAATCATCATCATCATCATCATTTTTTTACAATGTTTCACATTTTAGAAATAAACGACGACCATGGTAGCTTGAATGATTGATTCAAATGATGAATGGTTTCGATATACAACAACGGTGTTGACAATGGATAGTAGAAAATGAAAAAAAAAATATTCAAATCTTCGTCAATGAAAAATGTACAAAATAAAAAAAAAACTTCAACAGGTTAAATCATCGAAATCTAACCAATCGATGATGATGATGATGATGATGATGATGATCAAAATTGAATGACGTTTTCAATGTTCATATCAGTTGAAAAAAAATTATTATTGATAGTGCTGTTCATCATTAGTTTCAAATGGTCATGGTATGTACTGTACACACACACACACTGAAACACTGAATTGGCTGAATATTGACAAACAAAGAAGAAAAAATTTTTTCATTTATAACAAAACAACAACTACAACAATAACCATATATATTGTTGATTGATTCGATTCGATCTATAACGGCCAACAAAAGCAACAACAACAGCAACAACAAATTTATTTGAATGAATTAAACTGAATCACAATTAAGAAAAGAAGGAAGAAAGAAAAAAAAAAATGACAGCAATAGCGTAAATGATGATCACGAGGATGAAGATGATCATCATCATCAAGTTTGTTCATGAATACATTAAAAGTGAGAATGAATGAATGAATGAATGATTGAAAGTAAGAGGACAAGATCCCAAATGGATTCCCCGCGTTTTTTATTTTTATTTTTATTTTTCATTCTGTTCATTTAGCAAATCATCATCATCATCATCATCATCGATTTATTGACTGAACATTGCCATTGATAATCAACATACATCATCATCATCACCATCAATGGTATATATACGTAAATGATGATGATGATTGTAATGTTGATGGTGTCATTGAAATTATTGGAGAGAACACACGAGAAAAAAAAATGGTTGGTTTCAGAATGAATGAATGAATGAATGAATATAGTAATATTATTGTGATGGTAGTTGTAGTTGTAAAATAAACAGAAAAAAAAACGAAGCAAATGTGTGTATAGTATGATGTACCATCCAATTCAATACAATCATAAAAATGATGATCATGATCATCATTACCAATCATCGATATATTAGGTTTCATCATAAATATAATTTTTTTTTTCAAAATGAAAAATTTCTCTCAAGTTTATTCAATATGTTTTCGTGTTTGTATTTGTTATATGTGCGTGTGTGCGGCATGTTGTCTCTCGTTGTTTTTTTTTTTTGCCATGCAACTTGACAATGAAATAATAAAAAAAATGAAAAGAAAACGTTTTTATTCATTGATTTGAAAACAAAATGGACAATGGTAAATGTGTGATATGATGGTGATGATGATGGAAATAAATAAGTAAAAGAGAGAGAGAGAGAGAGAAAGAGAAAATCAAAGTCAAGGTAATAAATACAAACCAATCCATCAATTTCCGAATAGCAACAATTTTTAATTCAGGTGTGTGTTTGTGTATATTTCTGTTATTATCGTTGATGTTGTTGTTGTTGTTATTTGATTTTCATTTAATCATTTCACATGATGATGATGATGATAATGTTTACTTCGAATGTTTGACAACGAATTTGCGTGAGTGTTTGTGTGTGTGTGTATTATTGATGCAATCAATATATACCACTGGCTATGTAATATAGAAAACAGACTTTTAACCAATGGAAAATAAAAATCCAACATCATCATCATCATCATCATCATCATTTAGGTATATGTAATCAGTAATGCAATGAAAATGAATAAATGATTTTCAAAAGATGTAATCATCAATATAATAAGTAAATTAATGTTGGTGTGCATGACAACCTACCTAAATGTGAAAAATTTAATTAATTTAAAAATTACATAGGTAAATTTCCGGTGAAGATTCGTAAATTATTTTCAACTCACATCATGCTTGATTTATCAAAAAAAACCGGATTGTTTTTGCGCAGAAATACGAGAAAAAAAATTCGTCAGACAACAAGTGGCTATTCATATTCATATGTTCATCATTTATTCGTTAACAATTTTCAATATGAACGATACATCAAAATTTTTTCATCACAATTAACAATTGCCAAATGATATTCTTAATAATAATAATAATAATAATTTGAAGCTGTCATGAACAATGATCGTTTATTGATTCCATGCCAAGGCAATACACACAAATGTAGTAGTTAATTACAGAAAGAAAACACATTTACTTTTGTATGGAAAAAAAAGATTCCATTGCCAATTTTTCTTTCTCTCTCTCTCTCTACCTCTCATAAATCAAACAACAGCAGTAGACAACATCAACGTTGATTGATCTGCTACAAGAATTTCCAAATACGATTGCCCATTGTCTCAATATTCATAATAAATTTTTTCGATGCAATTAATTATCATTCTTCAAAATTTTGAAAATTTTAAAGCTTGTTTCTCTGCCGTTAGATGTCATCATTGTCAATGGTTTTTGGATATTCTTGAAATGGTTTCGACCAACAACAGCGAAAAAAAAATAGCGATGACTTAAAATAGCGATAGCCGAAAAATAGCGACTGACGAAAACAAAACGTGGATAAAAATATTCTCGGAATCAAATTAAAATTGTCGCAATTGAAGTGATTACGATTAATTGAACTCATTGGAAATCATTATCAATTTGATGGGGAAAAAATCTTTTAATGGAGCAAACAGGATTTTCGCATTAGATCATGCATGTATGTATTTTTTTACAAGAACTGAATCAATGATTCACATCTGTTGAAACAATTGTTGTTGTTGATCGAAAATTGAAAATGTACATGTGTTTGTGTTTGAACGTTGTATTCTGTATAGATATTGTTGAAAGTGTCCATGGCCTGTGAAAAATTGTGTAGTGTAAAAGTTGGGTTTTATAAATTTTGGAATTTTCGGGTTTGGGAAGAATTTTTTGAAAAGTGTAACATTTTTTCGATGCAAAGATGAGCAAGTTTGCCGTACAATTTTTTAATTAATGGATGATATTTGTTTATTGTTTGTTCATTTGGATCCTTTCGTATGAATGTTTGACATTGTTTGATGAATTTTTCATCGCCATGAAAATAGGCCATAGAAATAAATTCGGTTATGTTTTGACGATTAATATTAATTTCACCCGTATGTAACATACGTAGATATTCATAGTATGTATCATAGCTAAAATCACATCAATCGATACCTGATTCTCTTCTTCCCAATCATTCGAAAACTTATCGCCATAAAATTTGGATACGGATTTCAAATAACATTTAGACACTTTTATAGGTTTCTTCCCAATAATGAATTCTACGCCATAATTGTTTGGACTATTGAATAATCGACAATTTGATTGAATGGTTGATGTATAATTAGATTCAAATAGATTAGTGACGGATGTTAGACCAACTGTGGTTTGTGATTCCAATAACAGAGCTGATGCAGAAGCAAATGATGAATGTAGATCATACAATTTTCTAGGTGATGACCAAGTGTCATTCATGATTTTACCCCATGCATAATAATTTAATCCATCATGTGCCAATGACAAGTTATGGTCTTTTGAACATGCGATTTGTTGCACATTTTCAAACGGTATTTTTGTCAACTTTGATCGTCCAATATCATAACCAAGACCAAGTTCACCATTTTCATTAGAACCACATCCCCAAAGCTGATCATTCTCGAATAAAAATATTGAATGTCTGCGGCCAGCCACAATCTCTTTGATTCTTGTATCGACCGAATCATCATTTGGAAATGTATGCTGGGGTGTTCCGGTCTTTTTGATCACTAAGGCCTAGTTGGCCAAAAAAATTATCGCCCCAGGAATAAATTTCATTGGAATTAGTCACAACAATACTATGAAATTGACCGCAAGCAATAAGTTTAACATTCTCAATACCAGTATATGATGATGTTTCATAAACCAGTTATTTGACCACAACAATTATCACCCATAGCGAAAACATGACCATCTTGTTGCAACATTAATGAATGATACTGTCCACAAGCAATCATCTTGATCATCAATAAAAATTGTTTTTCGTCTTCGTAAGTAAAGCTGAAAATCTGAGCAATTGATTGAAGAAATTCTTGATCAATGTATTCGAGATTATCTTGAAATAACTCAATATCAATATTATCAGTTGGTGATCTTGCCATTATCGATGAACGAAAACACTCGAATTAAAGACACAATATTGACAAATGCGATATAGTTGCGATAGAGAGAGAATAGCAAATGACTGAAATGGATGATATATATGTTTATCGCATGTTCATTTAGATCTTGTCGTATGTTTCACAATATTTCATCAACCTTTCATCACCATAACAATTGGCCAGATCAATAAGTTCGGCTATGTTTTGACGATTAATATGAATTTTACCAGTATGTAACATACGTAGATATGTATAGTATGTTTCAACGATAACCATGAGCATATTTCTTCACTATATGCATATGTAGCTTCTTTGGTCATCAATAAAAATTGTTTTTCAAAGTAAATTTCTTCGAAAGTAAAAAAACTGAAAATTGAAACAACTGATTGGAGTAATTCTTGATCGATGTTTTCGAGATCATCTTGAAATAACTCAAAATCGATACTTTCAATCGGTGATCTTGCCGTTGTCGATGATGAAAAACACTCGAATTATAAACACAATTGACAAATTAGTGACGACAGAAAAGAAATGATCAACAATTGCTTGACGGTTTGGACGAAGTTAACATACACACAGGTGTATTCACACAACACAGATTTAAAAATATAACAAGAAAATTTAATATTTTAAAAATGAAAATACATGTGTTGGAAAAATAAAAACAAAATGTTTGTGGTGATGATGATGGTGGTAAATTAAAACGGCCAGCCAGCAAAAATGATTCGAGGTGATGATTGCTAGTGTGGCATGGACTTTTATATGATTTTTCCAACCGTCCAACTGCCAATCGGTTTGATCGAAAGTGGTGGATGAGTGGAAAATTTTCATCGGCCCTGAAAATAAGTTCATGACTCATGGCCACGTTTTTTTTTGCTTCTCTGCCAAAACAAAAAAAAAAATTAAATTAAATCAATGTTTATTTTAGGACATCACATGTATATCGTATAGCTATTTCTTGCATAGAAATATTCATAATGTTATTAATATTAAAATTTCTAAACATTTTATGACTTGATTAGTCAAAATATTTGATGATTGGGTTAGTCATCATCAACTTATTTCTTGATAAAAAGTCAAGCTATTTTTCGATTTTGAATAGT